GCCAGCCCAAATCCCTGCTGCCTTGCCATCTCCCCCCTACAGCTCTCTACCCACCTCCTAGTTGCTTAGGAAGAGCAAAGCAGTATGTAATTGCACTCATTTAAAATCAGAATAGGATTTTAAGGCTTCCTAAGCAGGGAGGAGAAATGACCTGACACACGCAAAAAGCTTTGCATCCTGAAAGCAAGGACATCCCAGTAGGCTGCTTAAAAATGAGGATACAGGACCTCACTTTCAAGAGATTTTTCCTGGGGTTCAACCAAACTGGAAATACCCTGCTAAATAGTCTAAATTTTGCCTTTTCTGAGCCACAGTCCTGTTGTGTTCTTTGGAGAAAAAAATTTTCATTTATGTGTGTACCTTGATGCCACTGCTTGAATCCAGTAGTTTTTGGAGAGCTATTGTGTAAATACACTTCTGATCCAAATACACTGGTTGGTCTGGGTAAACTCTATTTATGTATGTGTATGTATGTATGTTTATGTATGTATGTGTATGATATATATGGCTAATATTGATGCTATTTCATATATTAGAAATATTTGTAAAAATTTGTTAGTTAGCTGAACTCAGAGGGTTGGGCTTTCCAGGTCTTCAGGTCCCTGAGCTTTCAAGAGCCCAAGCCCACAACTTTCCTGAATGAAGGGCAGATGGAGTCTGTGCTTCTTGGGGTGGGTTTAGAGACTCCCAGAATGGCAAGCCTGAAAACCCAGAGTTTATAAGTTCTGATTCCAGGAGGAAGGCTCCTGCTCCACTTCAAAATCTGCAATTAGAGAACAGATTCAATGCTTCTGTAGGCGATGGGGGTCTGGGTGCTCAGTCCAGTGAAGCACCCAAGCTGGTAAATCTGAGCCATGAAGAAGCACCAGGAGAAAGTGGGAAGTGGTAACAGTAGGGAAATTCCCTCCTGCGAGTGTTGGAGACTCCCATCTGCTGATGGGACCTGTCCTGGACTGACTTGTCATCTAGAGAGGCTTGTTGGCTGCCACGACCTGGAACACTGTGCTAGGACTGCCAAAGCTTGTCTGGCTTCTGACTACTACTCCCTGCTGCTCTGCCTTGTAGGTTTCAATGAGACCACCTGAAGGGATCTGAAATTATCAGCTGTGGCAATATGGCTCTGGGGTGATGGCCAAGAGTGTGGGAGCCTGGGTGAATTCTCCTTGATCCTTTGGTGAGAGCAAAGTGCATTAGGATGAGTGGAGAGATCCTGTGGGTAAGCTGGTTGCATAGCTGGTGTCAGCAATAGAATTCTAGTTTTATGACCATGAGAGTCTTTTTGAGGGTTGCTTGGAAAAGATAGGATTCACCTGACTAGAGCAAAAGCATCTCTGCCAACTATCTTATGAGCAATTGGTAGGCCAGGTCAGCAAAGAAAGTGTGATACAAACAATGGGGACCTTATAATCAAAAAAATCAGGACTGAAGGGGGTCTTTCCCAAGTATACCCATATAAACAAAGGCAGTGTTTTTCAGAATTACAGGGAAAACTTTTCTACTCTTTCTGGGAAGTCAGCACAGCTGGTTTCCTCTCTGAAATGTCTGTGTTCTCACGCAGACAGCATGAGATGTAAAAGAGGAATTACTTGTCTGCATGCAGCTTCAGATTGTGGGACTGGGATTGGGATTGGGATTGTGAAGATACAATAGCATCGCTCATATTCAATCACTCTGATATCTACTCGAGGGAGAGTGTAGCTTGTTTATGTGCTGGGTTGGGTGTGAGCAGTTCAGGAGGTTTCTGGAGTGTGTTGTCTACTGGATCTCATACCTTCAAACAAAATTATTTGGGCATCTTTTGGGAGGCTGAGGGCAGTCTCAGTGGCACTGACAGGGAATGATGACGTTCAGGATGCAGACAGGAGGAGGAGGAGATAGGCAGAAAGCAGGGTTGCAAGCCCGGACTTGAAAAGGAAAGACATTGGCCTGTTCAGGACTCTGAAACCAGTAGGAAAGTCCAGGTAAACCTTCCCTCTGTGGAAGAGAATCAGGTTAGAGAATATTTAAACAAACTGGTCATGTGCAAAGCCATAGCCCTGGTTTGGTACATCCTGAGGGAGCTAAATGATATCAGGAGATTTGCTTGATGGTCTTCAAAAAGTCACTGTGATTAGGAGAGGTTCATTAAAACCAAAAGGATGCACCTCCTGTCTTCAGGAAGAGCAAGAAGCCTCTTTTTTTTTGCTGAAAACTACAGGCTGGTCAGCCCCATCGAATGAGTGAACCATTGAAAGATGATGAAAATAATAATCTTGGAGGCACTTTCCAAATTTATGAAGAACAGGAAGCTGGTAGTCAGTGTGGATTTATGAAATGGAAGTCATATCTGAACAAATCCTGCAGCTGGAGAGGAATAACCCCAGGCACGAGTACAGGCTGTGCCTGAGTGTCTGGAAAGCAGCTTTGTGGGGAAGGGCCCAGGGATGCTGCTGGACATGGAGCAGAGCGTGAGGCAGCAGCGTGTGCTTGTGGCAGGGACAGCTCCTGGCTCCCTGGGCTGTTTTGGGCAGAGTGCTGGGAGCAGGAGGAGTGATGTGATCCTTCTCCCCTTCTCTTTTCTGGTGAGGCTCCTGTGGAGTTCTGTGTCCAGTTCTGGACTCTGTGTTACAAGAGAGAGATGGAGAGAGCAGAGTGATCCCTGTGCAGGGCCATGGAGGTGGTAGAGGGATTGGAGCATGTGACATCTGGGGAGAGTCTGAAAGAGATGGAGATGTTCAGTCTGGAGAAGAGAAGGCTCAAGCTGATCTTATTGATGTATCTGAAAGCATTATTTAATCTTAAGGGTGATCAAACACTGGAATTTCCGTTCTTTGAGATCTCAAAACTTGGCTCCATAAGAATGAGCAATCTGTGCTTTAGCTGCTTCTGCATTGAATAAGAGGACTGGTCTACAGAGGTGCCTTCCAAACTAAAAATCTCTGTGATTTAGGCAGTGGTTAGTGGTTTGTACTACACATGCAACCTGATAATAAATGATTATATATAAATGATAATAAATGAAGTACCACTGGGGGCTCTTCTGGAACTTGTTCTGTCTAACATCTTTATCCATTACTGGAGAAGGCAGTGGAGTGCAATCTCCTCATATCTGTGATTTCTACCAAATTGGTGGAACAGTTCATGTGTTCAAGAGCGAAGGGACCTGAATCTAGAACAGCTCCAATTGTCTAGCTTGGAGAAGAGAAACTGTGAGGTCCTAATAGCAGCCTTACAAAGCTTACAAGTAGGTTATCAAGAAGATGGAGTTACTGCACAGCAGTGCACAGTGAGACCACAAGACTAGTGAGTGAAAACTGATACAAGAAAGGCTCCAGGAGATTGTAGAGAGAAAACCTTTTTCCCAATCAAGCAGTGGAGCAGATTCTCCAGTGTGCCCTACCTGCCTCTGTAGGAGGAGGCTGGAGGATTTCAAGACCCATGTGGGCAAAGCCCTGAGTAGCCTGCTTTGACCTCAGAGCTGGTCCTGCTTTGAACAGAAAGCTGAACTGGAGATGTGAAGTCCCTCTCAGCCTGAATGACTCTGATTTTTCAGTTAAGTTTCGCTGTTCCATTTTTCATGTTCTGTTTGCATGTCAGCTTTTAATGTGTGGTGCCACTCTTTCTGTTTTGCTGTTCATTATGTAGTTTAGCAGGCCTCCTGTAAAATGGTTTTACAATGGTTTTTGACTTCACAGAAGAAGTAATAGAGGAATATTATAAGCCATAAACTTGTGGCTGGTACGTATCCAAAAGTCAGAACACTGCTTTAGCTATGACTTGCAGGCTCTGGAGGAGGGATGGAGATATTCAGCATTGTGACTGTGTGACATTTTGGGGGTGGAAAGAAGTAACTCTGCTTTCCTGTCAACTTAATTCAGTTTAGTATGCAGGATCTGTTATTCAGGCAGAACCTTTTTGCTGCCTGTGGTGTAATGGTTGGCTTTGCTTTGTGAGCTGGTATTGCCTCTTTGCAGGCTAGAGCTTGCAGGGTATACATGGCACAGTCATTTATGCTGAAAGCAGATGCCTGTTACTAGTTCTCACTTTGCTGTTTCAATGGTTGAAATGATAAATGTTTGGTGGAAAGTCCTGGGATGAGATTTTCCACTGAAGAAAACAAGAGTAAGGTTTGCAGATATGGCTGTTCCAGATCTTGCCAGTCTGGCCAGTAAATGTTTGATGAACCACTAAATATAACTATGGCTTCCACACTGAGTACCCCAGGTGTATTATTTTTGATTCTCTAAAGGAATTTTTCTGTCTTTATAACTCTCTTAATTCTCTACAGAGACTTTCTTGTGTATGTGGTTTCAAGGGATGGGGAAAGACAGACATACCATATAATGATAGCAAGCTTATAGTGCAACTCTGATAACAGACATTCAGAGCAGTAGAAGTATTTAATCTTAATTCTTTGATGCATAATCACAAGTGAAAGTAAATCACTTCTTTGATAAAACCCCGTGAGGGCATGTTCATGAAACAAAGCTTTACATTTCTATATACACAACAGTGAAAGTCATTATGATGAAAAAAAATCTTGTTAAATACCTTTTAGGTTGATAGTGATGTATTTAGGTAACAAGGTAGTTGCAGTGGCTTGGGATACTTATGAATTTGAGAACATTTCCATGTTTATTTCCATATAAAAGAAAATTCTTTGAAAGCCCTGTGAACAAAAGGCAAAACTTTGTCCAAGAACTAAAAATAAACTTTGTAATGCTGCCAGAATAAATATTGCTAAAGCATCACAAATTGATTTAATTTCAAAAATAAAGAAAAATATTGCCTTAACCACAATGGGCTTTCTTGTGTGTTTTTTCACTTTGGTCTCTCTTGTAGCAGTTACCCACAGAACATTACCATTGCCTCTTGCCTCTTTGATGTACTCTCTTGGTTATGCTGAATATATTACTTTCACTGAGAATACATGATTGCATTGGTGTTTTCTTATGCCTTTGGAAGGCAGGAAAACTTAAATGAAGTCAATAACTGTGCACATGTGTGTTTCTCTTTTAGTGGAGGCGATAGTGGAGTTTGACTACAAAGCTCAACACGATGATGAGCTGACAATCACTGTAGGTGACATAATCACCAACATCAAGAAGGATGATGGAGGCTGGTGGGAAGGACAGCTCAAAGGCAGAAGAGGTTTGTTCCCTGACAACTTTGTAAGAGTGAGTACAAAGTGGAACTGTTCTTGTGTTGTGTATATAAGCTTTATGTACTGTGCCGTTTAGGCTAAATATCAGCCTTTATATCATAGTATCTCTTATATCCATAAGCATAATATATTGCATATACACATGTATTGTATATACAAATATATTGTACATGTATAATGTATTGCATATATAAAGTGCAATGTTCTATTGAGACAAAGAAAAGATTACTTTCTTTGCAAAGACAAGCTGAAAATAAAAGAAGCTACCCCTACATTTCTCTGCTGTTCAGTGAAAATACTTGACTTTGTGGTCTGAGAACCAAGTGGTTATTCTAGAACAACTTATGGGACATTGCATTTTAAATATTTTGTCTTCCCTGTAACAGATTCTGCTTTTCCAGAATGTTTTCTTAGGTTTTATAGAAGCTTTTTTTGGTGAATATTCATTCCTAGCTAAACTAGTAGAGAATAATTGGATTTTTCCATACATTGCCTATAAAAACTTTTTAAAAAAACATTAATTTGTATTCACTTAATATACTAAATAACTTGTAATATACCAAATAATCCCTGTTTTAGGACAACCGTTCAGAGGTTTGGAAAGAAATTTTTTTTTTACTGGGCATCTGTGTTTGCACACATATGTCTGCACATATGAAGCCAGTTATTAGTACCTCTGTGCCTCCTTGATTTGTCATTGCAGACCTAGGCTGTTGATTTCTGTAAATCTCCATAAACCTGGCTTTCCAGTATGGAAAAGAGACCAATAACTACAATAAATTACATAAATAGGTTTCATGTTAATCTTTTAGTACAGCTTCCAAGAAGAGCTTTGGTACTTTCCCTTTCCTAAGGGTATAAATGTATTTTTTTTCTTTTTTATTTATTTTTTTTTTAACTTCCTCTAACAGTGTAAGACTGTTGTGTGTTTAGACATATGGACATAGGGAAGTAATTTCATTTTGCTTCCATAGTGCTGCATATGCTGAGGCATTGGGGGAAGTGGTCTGGTTGTGATTTAGCCAGCCCATAGCAGGGGGTGTGGGGGTGGACACCGGAGCCTCAGGTGTTTCTGTGGGAGTGAACATACACCCTGATCCTTGCTCCTGTCACTGGCAACAAGAAAGAGCAGCTCTGTGTGTGTCAGGCAGCAAAAATCAGCAGCAAGCCAGGGCCTCAGTGAAATGAAAGGATATGGTAGAGGACAATAGTCTGGTTTTTGCTAATCTCTGAAAATCCACACTTTGGGCTAGGGGAAAGAAATTGTTTGGGTATTCATTGTGTATTGGTAATTGGTAATTATTGGTAATAATTTTTCTTTTTGAACTCTGTTGGGACTGAACTGTGGGACAAATGCATACTTCCTCTAGGCTTTTTCCTGGCTGACATTTTAAATCTGCTACTGATTTTAGGAGGTGTTTGATTTAGTATTTTAAATAAATACAGCTTATGAATGTCTGTTATGGGAATATACTAATCTAAAGATTTGCAAGTTGGCACCATTAGTACCTAATTTTAAGGCCTCTTCTTTCCAAAATTGCTTCAAACTGCGGCATCCTGTCACATAATTGAAATATAAATAGCTTTTTTTTCAATAGAAAGTTCTAAAACAACGGTAAATGGTTTAGATTTTGTCTTCTCATGAAATACCACTCCCTGCTCTTTCCTTCCTGCCTATTTTTTTGTTTTGTTTTGTTTTTGTTTTTGTTTAAATTTATTTCTTCTTTTAATCAGCATCCAGGGCTGTTTTCTAAAGAACTAAAAACTACATTGTGCTCAAGCTGAGAATGAAGAAGAATTTAAAGTCAAAGATGTTTTCTGTAGCCAAGCATTTTCTCTCTAAACTAGATAAGATGGAGTAGGAGATACACACTTACTTAAAGCAGAGTTAGCTTATGAATCTCTTAAGCAAAAACCTTTATTTTTCTTGTTTTTCTTGTGTAAATGTCCTGTATGGAGAGCTATAGTCAAAACAGCAACCCCATTAGAAAGCTCGTTGAGCATAATCACTCTGCCCAGTAAGATTATAAGTAATTGTAAACTTTCTCTTGATTATGGAAAATTTTTAATGAGTGAATGCAGTGTTGGACTCGCCAGCAGTCAGTTCATGCCCTGTTGGCAAAGTGTGTATCAACAAAGTAATTAAGAAACAGGCAAAAGGGGATGTTACAGATGAGTAGTGAACCTGAATGCAACTCTAAATTCCTATTTCTTATCAAAATTAGTTCTAAGAGTAGTTGAGAAAGTTATTCAAAGATTAAAAACTAGAAATGAAATTCTTGAGGTACTTTGCATTCTACCTTCAAGAGGTAGGAATAATTTCTTATGGAGAAGAGCTTTTCCTTCCTGTGATTTTATTTTCTTTTGAATAAATTCATAATGATGTTCCAAATAAACTGTTGGGGTTTGCAAAAATTGAATGTTTGGGCTGAAATGAAATCATGGCATTAACACTGTAAAGAGTACTGAATGGTTTCTGTTAACATTTCTGCACAGATTCTGGAAGTTGAGTTTGGAAGAAAAGAAGTAGAAATCAGAAATGGAAATATAGGGAAATGCAATACATTGGAATGTTTATGAAAAGACATTAATTTGAAGTGTTACTTTGGAAATAAATGCCCCATATTTTTCCAGGGAAAGTGAAATACGCTGTGAATGTGCAAAAGACTTTTGGAGTTGCATGTAGTAAAAGTGTTTTAAAATTTCTTGGAATAGATGTAGATTAAGAGACCATTGAAGAGGAGTTGTCTGAAGGCAGATGTGAGACAGAAAGTGGAAAGGGGAGGTAGCAGTGATATACGTGAAGTACATACGCAGTTTTTTTTCAAGGGACTTTCTCCACGAAGCTGTAGCAGAGGTGCTTCCTGTTCTTGAATCTACAAAGTAACTGCTCTGAATTTTTTGTATATTTATACATACAGTGACAAAAAAGACGGATTCGTACTCTTATGCTCTGAAATTCAGTATGCAAGCCGTAACAGAAAAGGTATTTGAAATTTGTTTTCTATTTCTTCTTTCATTGCCTAGTAATCTGCAGCTATGGCCACTCGGAAGATTTTGAGGAAGAAGTTTGTTTAAATATGAGAAAAATCTTTGGTCTCCCTTTAAGATCTTACTAACCTCTGTCAACACCTGAAGATACCTACTTTTGTTAGAGATAATGGTGCTGAATGTATTGTAAGAAATGTATGAAAGTGTATCTGGTTGTTGTCTTCTGTTTTCTTTCAATTTTTCAGGCAGAAAATTGAAGTACGAATGGAAAATTATGTACTGTTCCTGGTGTCTGTTTTAATTCTCAGTTGTGCAGCTGATAAAGAGGAGGTATCAGGTGTGATTGCAGTGTTGTTCATTTATAAGATATAAAGCTGGTTTTTGATGTCTTTCTAGCTTGAAAACTTCAGCTTGAAATCCATGCTCTGCAGGGTAAAACTGTGTTTGTAAGTGTGATGGCATCTGAGACAGATTTTGCTGATAGCAGATGAAGATGTAGAAAGCAGGAAGCTGGTGCAGAGCCATGCTTGCTGGCTTTAGTTTTCAAAGACAATTTTATGTGGTATTGAAGAGTCTTATACTGGTAAACTGAATCTGGTGCATATAGCAACCTGAAAGCTTCTCTGTACTCCAGAGGACTTGCCAATATTACTAGCAGAATTGGAGAGGTAAATTTATCTTAAGCAAGAAGTGTAGTGTAGTTGGTTTTGAAATTCTGATGTGTAGCTCGTGTTGTGAACCAGTGAAACAGTGTAACTGTACTGCTGTCTTAGGTCAGAAAATTTCTGGATTTCTTGTAATGAAAGCAGAATACAATCTTTAAATAGTGCACATTAGTTGTAGGGTGTCAAAGATGCTCATGTTGAATCATAGGTACACGGTGCGGATCCTTATCTGTTGCTTGTCATTTTAATTTTCTTTTCTGTGTGGTTTGTTTGCTTTTATCACAACCAGTTGTGGGGGGACTGTGAGGGATTTCTTTCTCAGACCCTTGTGCTTGTTACACACCCCTACCTGTCTCTGTTCATGCTTTCATACAGCTTTTCATAAAACATAAAAAGGTCCTGTGCACATGCAGGGGCCCTTTGCAGCTGAAGTTTGATTCCTGGGCAGGAAAAGGGAATATTTCCCATGTCTGAGAACACTTTGGTTCCTGAAGTGTTTTCTGCTTCCCCAGCTGCTGCTTGGTACCTGGCAGGGCAGAGCTGACCAACTCCTGTTGTCCTTCCCTGCTGCTTTGCCACAGCCTTTTGCAATCTCTGGCACCTCCGTGACTTCCTCTGCCTTTGCTCTGGGCTTTGTTGGTTCTTAGGCCTTCACTGCTCTCCTCAGCAGTCTAAATACTCTCAATGAAGTGATGGCTGGGTCAGCTCTGCCTTGGTAGCCACTTGTCATGGGTTCAGTCCCCACAGGCCATCCACTTAGGAGCTGCACTTGATCCTTGAGGGTCCTGTCCAATTCAGAATATTCCAGGATTCTGGGAAAGTTATGGCATTAGCAGAGGCACTGAGGTTATATGCAGAATAGGGAAATTATTTCTGTCTGTACCTGAAGTGAATTGTTATGCTGTGGTACTCCTGATTTGGTTGTTTAGGGGATTTTTTAATGGTTTTTTGTTTTTTTTTTTAACACACTTGGCAGGAATTTGCAACTCGATTAATGAGCTTTCTTTTGTTGATTTTGGAAATCTTACTAGAATACTGCTACATATTTGTTTCCAAGAATTGTTTTAGATCATGGGATCCTAACTGAATGAGAGTCAGGAGAACTAGCTTCTTATTCGAAGTTTTAGGTATGGCCATTAAACTTGTTATACTGTGGTGAAATGCAAGAGAATATAATCGCAAGTGAAAATGTTGTCTCTGAGGTTTTGTTCCTGTCAACATTAATCAAGATTTTGTGAGGAGAAATGTAACATCACAGGCTGTTATTATTTGTTACTGCTGTTGTTATTACTCTTACAATGGTGAAAGCAAAACTAGTAAAACAAAATCTTCCCTCCTCTTCCAGCCCATCTCCTCA